TGTAGTGGCGTGTTAATTGGTTCAGGTCCAATATTTAAAATTAAATTTGCTGTTACTGCATTTAAGTAATCTTCTACAGAGTATTCAGGGTCTGTTCCTGTGAAAACCATTAAGGGTTTATTTGATGTTATTGATGATCCACCCATAAGGTATGGATTCATTGTCATTTGTAATGATTCAGCTGCATTTGGCATTTGAGAAAAATTTGAAAGTTGGTTTCTTGTTATTTCATGTTGTTGAAGATAATACGGGAGTGGTATTTCATTTTGCATTTGTGATGGTTGATACGAGTGTGTAGTCATTGGATTTTGTTGTTGAATTGGTTGAAAAGATTGTATATTAATTGGATTTGGTTGTTGAATTGGTTGTTGATATTGTGCATCTATTGATTGTGGAGAAAAATTTCTATGGTTTGTACGTGTTTTCTGTATTCCTTGTCTACGATATTCTTGAGTATTTGGTGCAAATATATCTGGTTGTAAGAAATCTTCATCTGAGGATAAATAATCCATTTGATAAGATGTTTGTTTTTTATTTTTATTTTGTTGAAAAAATGGGTAATTTTCACTGCGATCCTGTGGAGGATTTGGTTGAAAATTTGTGGAATTATATTGGGCCGTTGGGTTATCCCAGTTTCGAGGTTTTGTATATTGATTAAAATTTCTTTGTGGTTTATAATTTGTTTTTGATGGATGTGTATAATTATAATTATGGTCTGCAAAGTTGTTTCTAGTGAATGTTTTGCGTGTTTTTGATGGTATTGTCATGGGTTTGTATGTTTGGTAATCCATATGTGAATATTTAGGGGCAACCGAAGGTTTAACGGTTGATTGTAAGGTTACCTGTGTTTGTGAAGGATTTGTATTTCTTGGTGTTGTTAAATTTGGGCGTATTGGTGAAATACTTTGTTGTGTAGTTGTTGTGTGTACAATTTCTTCATTTATGAAGTGTGATGGTGTCTGTATATCTTGTTGAGTAAGATTCCTAGTTCCATTGAGGTTTTCATTGTGTATGACTGTAGAGTTTAAACTATTATTTTGTGTATCGGGTAAAAATGTATTATAGTTTAATGGTGTTGCATCAATTGTTAATGGTATTACTCTTACATAATCTCTTATGTAAGATATTGTACCTATTGCTTGACTTGAGATTGATTGTGGAAAGTTTATAAATACGGGATGAGACCATTCGGGGTCCCAAACATAATCTGATTGTTCTGTGATAGCTGTATCATCGTTCGAGTTTTGGGGTCTAAAATTTTTTCTTGCTTGTGCAATTAAATCAATATTGTGTGTAAAATAATCTATTATGAACCATGCTAAAATTTTTTGTAAATCGTGTTTGGTATGTTGTGAAACGTCGTCTTTCGTGAAATTTTCTTTAATGATGTTTAAATAACTAGAGAGTAGTGTGATTTCATGTCGTACTCTTAAATGTTTAGATGTTTCTGTCGGTGAGACATTTGTTAATGGGAGTTCATTTTCTAATATCGAAATATAACTATATATTAGTGCGAAAACTTCATTGGTGAAAATGGAGTTTGCTCTTTGTGAGTTATGGTATTGTATGCTTTTTATATATTCTGAAAAAACTTTTGAAAATTCTAAATCAAGGTCGTCTGTTTGAATAGTGTATGTTCTATTATTATGGTTTGGGGAAGTGAATTCTATAGAGTAGATTCCATATTGTTGTGTTATGTTGCATATATCTTTTAGATAGTGATCTATGATTTGTCTTTTGATTTTTACATCGGGGAACTCTGTTTTACATGGACTGATTCCGGGTTCAAATAAATTTACGAGTAAATTTTGACAAAATATGTGTTGTCCTCTATCAGTATCTGCATCTACTATAAAAGGAAAGATTTCATCATCATCTGGAGTTTCGTCACCTGGGGTGTGCGTTGAACTCATTTTTTCGTTCGATGACTGTTAATATGTAATTATTAATGTGTCGAATTGGTTGATTCCAGTTGTATAGATGTACTGGTTTGTGTTTATACTGCTTTTTTATTCTTCTTTTTCCTCTTTGTGATGAATTTGAAGTTGTTTCTGAGTCAGAAAAATATAATTGATCGTGTTGTGGGTAATTTTTATCTATTGATTCTTTTAGTTTGTAGAGTTCGTCTAAACTGTTGGTTTCTGATTCTGAAAATGCGTTTCGATTTTTTGAAAATCTTTTTCGTGTTATTTGTCTTTGTTTAGTGATTATTTTTCTCTTTAGTGTTTGTCGTTTTGTTCGAATGTATCCAACTGTTTGTGTATGAGGTGTGATTACAAGGTCGTATTTTTTGTTATCTATTTCACAATTGTGTAAAACGATTGTTTGTTTATTCCCTAGGTTTTTAAATGACATAAGGTTTAGGATGACGGGTGCAAAAGGTTGTTAAATGATTTCTATTTTCCTAAACTGTTAGTTCTTACGATTTTTTGGTTAGCTTAACCTGGGTCTATTTGTTTAGGGTTGGAGAGAAAAGTATATCGATTCCGAAGAATGATTTTTACTTTCTCGTGACTAGTATAAGCTAAGGTGTTAACTTACTTAATCTTACTTAGGGGTAGTGATTGTGTTCAAGGGTTGGAGAATAGTAAATCGATCCACAAGGTTCAGGTATAATTAGAACGCGAGTAGTTCGTTAGATACTATTTTAAACTTACTAAGTCTAAGATTTATCCTGGGTCTGGTAAGAGGGGGGATCAAGTGAAGGATGAATAACCGAAGTTCTTCACTGTTTATCCTAATTTGAATGATTAGTTTTGTTTAAAAATTTCTATTAGTCTTGGGTCTTTAGAAAGGGTTGGGTAGTGAATCGACGTTTGAGGTCGTTAGACACTAATTAAGTGGGTGGGGGAGAACAAAGTTGTTCTGTTTGATCCAAGGATAAGCCTTGATGATCAAATTTAAAATGTAATGAAGTAGAAAATGATTTAAGATCCAAGGATAAGCCTTGATGATCTGGTTTTAAAATTAAGTGACTTTAAGTTTTAATGAGGTTTTAAATTTGTGTAAAGGAAAGATTTAGTATTTTATGATATTAGTGAGTTGATGATTGCTGTTATGTTTTAGGTGATGAAGCTGGAACAACAGGATGATTTATGATTACTAACCATTTATTGTCATGCTACTAATTTTTATTTTTATTTTCCAATAAATATTTTTCAAACATGTTTTGTATAATACTGCAGAATTTTAGGAAAACGATCTTAGATCTTTTTATCAATCGTTATTGTATAATATTAATTTTGTTTAGCGCCTGAAATGATTTTGAAGATTTACTTCAAGGTTTTATGTTTGCAAATGGAAATCTAAATTCATTGCAAGTAGTATTCGAAATATAAAAGTTTGTTCTGGCTTTTGCCGAACTATCATGTAACTATACGGCAAGTTTCTACTTTGTCGTATGTCGTCTTTGGTTCGATGTCTTCTTCCAATTCCGGGTAGTTCTATTATGGTTCGGAATATTGGCTCGGATCTATTGAGTCGGAGAGACATTTCAATTAAATTATTGTCGTATAACATTTTGTAAATGTTTTTGTCTAATTTCTAATCTAATTTTGGTTAATTCTAATCTAATAAGGTCTTGTTCGAGACTTATGGTCGCACCAGATGAGTTAGGACTGGAGTGTAACTCATAGAGTAATTTCGGATAGGGTACACCGTCTGCTCGTCACGCTATCTTATTTTCGGCCGGATAGATTCGTGCAACTTCTTAGTCTAATACCGATCCTAATCTTACTCTTATACTATCTAGTCTCAGGTTGTTTAACTAGTCTCTGCTAGGCTCAATAGATCTAGGGTATACTGGTTTATTGCGGCTGCTGAAGTGCTCGGGAGAGTCCAACTAATTTCTAAGTTAAATTCAAATCTCTCTGGTGCTGAAATTACAAGTAACTTCAGCACTTACAAATAAGTGGGTTGTTAGTTAGATGGATCATGATTGGTTAATATTAAATACTTTACATTGGTAAAACATTTAATTTATCCAATCATAAAATATAGTTTAGATCAGGTTCCACCATGTTGATTTTCCGAGTTTTCCTAGCACACTTCAATGACTTTTTTCTGGTAAATTTTCGTACACAGCAAGCAAATTTTTGAGACAAAAACTGGCCAAAAGATCCATTATGGGTAGTTTTTGCAAAGTTTTTTAACACAAAAATAGCGTTTTTAGCGTTTGCTCTAAATTGGTAGTTATTGGCGCCGAAGGCGCGCTTAGAAAAATTTTAGCTTGGCCAAAAATTGATGTCTTTAAACTCTGCAAAGAGGACATCGCCCTAAAAACTCTACACAGTTCAGTCCTTCTAGTCAAAAGTCGGAACCAAAAACGTGAAAGTCAAGTCTGGATCCAGTAAAACTATTGTCCGACTTTCGAAAACAGTCAACAAATGTTTCTGCTCAGTGTCATTGTTTCTCTGACGAGATTTTTTTTTTAGTGAAAACCTTTTTTTCACCTTTGAATTTTTTCTAGGCCTTTTAATCCGGCTCCGAAACTTTTCCAAATTGATTTGAGACAGGAAAGTTTTGATTTTTTTTTGAAGTTTCAACGCCCCCCCCCCCCCCGCCCTCACGGATTCGACCCCCTGCCTTTGATGCTGTTTACTGCTGTTCAATTTTGAGATAGCCATTTTGGTTGACTGTTTTTTGGCCTGTTTTTCAAAAAATTTGCCTCCGGCGCAGAAAACTTAGCCGAAATAAAGTTTTTTTAAAGGTTTTGGGAGACCTCAGAAAATCAATTCGCTTGACCTCAAAAAAGGTCGACAAAAAGTTTTTGATTTTTTTTTGCAAAAATCCAACCCCCCCCCCCCCCCTTGAGAAAATCGTAGATCCGCGCTTGACGTTTTAATAAAACGTTTTAATAAAACAATCACTAATAATAAATAGACGTTTATTTTTATTATTAATAATAATTAATAAATGACGTTTTAATATCCTTAACGTTTCAATAAAACAATCGCTTTAATTTAAGGTTTTAATATCACTGATCTACAAAGTCAAGTAATAAACTAGTTTCTATGTTGGTCAACATTAGGTTCACGAGATGGCGGCACACGTGAAATCTGTCCTAATTATGGGGCCCGAGGGTGTCGGAAAACGATTACTCGTGAACGCCATCTGTACCGAAACAGGCGCAAACTTGTTCGACCTCAGCGCCGAAACGATTGCCGGTAAGTACCCGGGAAAGTCTGGACTGACAATGCTCATTCACATGGTAATGAAAGTGGGAAAAGCGCTTCAGCCATCAGTTATTTTTATAAACGATGCCGAGAACACATTTCTAAAGAAGGTTCCAAAAAAAGACGAGCTAGACCCGAAGCGACTCAAAAAAGACCTCCCGAAAACACTCAAGGGTTGGAAACCCGAAGACAGGCTGTTGTTAGTGGGAACCACAAACAAACCACAAGACTCCGACCACAAAGGTCTGTGTGGTTTATACCAGAAGATAATTCTGGTTGCAAGACCAGATTACGGATCCAGACAGATCCTGTTTCGTGTTCTGATCGACAAATACGGAGGAACAATAACAAACGCTTTGAATATCAGCGACCTCGCCAGAATATCCGATGGCTTCACTGGCGGTTTAATTGAAGCCGCGATCAAGTCAGTTCTAACCGACCGTAGATTGAGTCAAATGTCTAAGAAACCGATCACAGCTAGTGAATTTTTGAATCCGCTTTCAGTTCGATCACAAGTTTTCGAGAGTGATGAAAAAGAGTTTGCAGAGTTCTTCAGCAAGAAGACACCCTTGGGTAAAAAGAGGGCAAAGGCGATGAAAGGAGACGACGAGGACGACGGAGGAAAAGGTGGGAAAGGAAAGAAAGGAAAGAAAAGCGGAAAAAAAGGAAAGAAAGGCAAGAAGAAGTGAAAACTAAACTGTAACGATCAATAAAGTTTTTTATCATAATTAATCTTTCAATCTTCCATTTTGAACATAATACTAATCAAGTCTTAAAAATTGTAGTTCGTCAGCCCATTTTATACCCACTCTCAAACAAGATTGCGGCGATATAAGTTGTTTAATAAGTGGGTAATGACCAAGAATTGCCATGATTATTCTTTTCGACTATGGGCTGCTTAAGCAAAATGAATATGCAGGTACGGTTAATTCTATGAGAAAATGTAGGAGGCAAATTTTTTGAGAAAAATTTTTGGCGTAAAAACTTGTTTTTTTTTTTCAAATTAAATTTTGGAGCCAGTTTAAAAAGTTGAGCAAAAATTTTGATCCAGCCAAACTTGATACTTTTTGACGAGCATAATTTTGTATGAAAGTGTTGGACAGCTACACCTATGTATATCATAAAACTTCTGAATTTTTTTTCACTTTTGCTTAGCTTTTTTTGTGTGCTTGATCTCTCTGAATACATTAAGCCTGGGTACAAACAAACCCAAAAAAATCCGAGTGATCTCGCGTTGATAATCTTCCCTGATTCATCAGTAAACTACAAAAGTGTAATTTCTAGCACTGAATTATAGGTAATTCACTTTTACAGGACTTTTGGATATTTGAAAACTCAGCAAAGTTTGTCGAATTGGGTTTTGAGGCTCACGTTATTGAAAGCACATTAGTTGCTTCTTCATTTGCATTTGAGCATAAATTATATTAATCAGCATCTATAAATAATCCAAGGGATGAAATCGTAGAGATAAAGTCCGAAGTTAGTGGCTTTTATCCCCTTGGGAACTTTTTTTCTTCATAATGAAAGTACTGAAACTCAGAGCTGTTTCACAGATAATCAAGGCTGATTCCGAAAGCTTAACTCTAATTCAGGTATTAATTAACAACTGGGGTTTTCAGAGCTTAATTATTGATGATTGTGATCTGATCAAGGAGTAAGTGAAGCTGACCAGAAGCTGAATCAGTGCCTGCACGTTACTTTGTCAAGTAGAGGAGAGCCAATATTTAACAATGATTGATGAAAGTTTTGTCCAAGAACCAAATGGTGACTGGACAATTACACAGGGAAAGTCAGTGATAGTTTTTAGAATGTGAAACCAACAGTCGACTTGCAGAATGAAGAGTTTCTGTCAGAGATGGAGCCAGATGAAACGCAACCAGAGATAAATGTCATCAGCACACTGAAATAAGAGAATCAGCGACGAAAAATAATAACTTTTTTGACACAACGATGATTAACACTAGAATTCAACTTAAAATTTTGGATCTCACCGAAAAAAAAAGGATTTTAACAAGTTTATACATCGAACTGCGAAAAAGTTCTGCTCAAATTATTTTCTGCGTTGTACACAGATCCACTCCCCACGCAAGGTCAAGTGAAATTTTGCGTCTAATAACGGTCTTAAGACCATTACTTTGTCACTAATGATTTTGAACTGACCAAAGTCTGAATAGGGACGGCCGGTTGCTGTGAAAGTAGCGGAGACATTTTTTTCTTACATAGCGTAGTTTTTTTATTCCTGATGTGATAAGAGGATCTTAATGAAATCCCAGATTTTCGAATTCAAAATCATTAATGGATTCAGGAGGCACTTAGCACAGTGGTAAGGCGTTCACTTTGAAATCGTCAGATCGTGTATTCGATCCCATGCCATGGCAATGATGGTGTGTGAGGACAAGCTCTCACTTGACCTCCAGCTTCAGGTCTACCACAACCTGACCAAATTTGGCTGCAACAGGGGTACCACGTAAAAAGTTCTAGATGCAAAAAAACGGCCTTGAGTCGCAAAAAAACAGCTTCGCTCAGCAAAATAACACTGTCTGGAATGTGGGGAGATAATACAAATGGACTATCCTCGACAGGACTGTTAAGGCCGACTGATAGCTCCTCTGCGAATCGCAGGAACTACAATTAATTAATTAATTAATTAATAACATTTGGCTACAAATTTTTCATAAAACAAATAAAACAGTAATGAGAAATAAGTCATCAGCTCAAAAAAAAACCTTCAAAACTTTTTTCGAAATTTCTTACAAACAATTGTTGCTGGTCTTTATTCCCTGGTCTGTTCAAGTCTTTATTCCCGAGAAGGTTCCACAAAACTTCAATACTGAAATTTTACTAGAATAGAACAAAATTTTCACGGCTTAACTTGATATATATATATATATATATATATATATATATATATATATATATATATATAAAACAACTAATAAAAAACTTATTATAAGCGTAGCATATTTGCTTTATTTGCTCGAAATTAGACGAGAAAAAAATTCACAGTGTGTCTCATCGACACTGAAAAAATTTTTAGACTGTTTTTATAAAAGTCATTCGCATCACGACTTAAGAGATTCTATTATCATATATTTTTCTACCCATTCCGATAAATATTTGTGTTCCTGATCTTGCGTGGAAAACAAAAAAACCTGAACACTTTTGAAGACAAAAGCTCCTCGCAATTTTCAATGTTCGGAACAAAAAATCATTGCTTAAACTACTCGGTAAAAAATAGGAAATTTCGCGCGAAACAATTAATTCAAGGTAACAATTTGAAAAGCCCCACTATCTTACAAAAATGTCACATACAAAGTATAAACTTAATTCTAAGAGCATAATATTGATTCTCATCAGAGTGTTTATAGAAAAATTGTTCTAACAGTGCTTGTAAAAAAACTAAATCGAACAGAATAATTCCATCACTTTTTCGAAAATCAGAACAAGCCTTGGCAAATTAATTCCAAAGTAATGTTTTCACGATGTTGTTCACGATGTTGTTCACGATGAACTGAGCTACGTGAACTGACCTCAACCGCTCTTTTCAGACTTACAAAATTTCATTTCAAAAATTACACTTGGAACTTCTTTACAATCTGAGCTCAGGTCATCGATCTTTTTCAGATTGTACAGAACAACTCTTTTAAAAGAGCTAAAGAGAAAGTATAAATTTTTTCTAGAGACAACAACACAACGTGCGCCCAAACAAAAATCAGAACTAATTCGAAAGTTTGATTTTTGCTGGAGTAAAACGTCGCAGCACTAAAGTTTGACCTACGCGTTTAATAATAATAATCATAAGAAATTGATTCCAAACAATATCTAGTTACAGACTTATTTATAAAAATTTATAGATACAAATTAGAATCATTTGGGAGAACACCATTAAGCCAGCATGGGTCGTCTCATTAAGCGGAGAACAAAATAATTAGTTCACATGCAATGGATCTTCTACCAGTAAAAATCTATTCAACGTAAAACCTCTTTAGTTTCACCTTTAAACCATTCTCTATATAAAAAACTAATTTTATTTATTTTTTGTTTTCTCGGGTAGTCTTTTCTACCCATAACCTAGAAATCAACAGAAACAGATTCTACATATTGAGCAATAAAAAGTCTCAAAGCATGCCCAATAAAACCGTATTTCCTAGAACGTAGTTATCCAAGCATTTATGATTAAACTATTCGATTGAAACCGAGAAGCTCCATTCAAAAAATTGATCCGGGCGGGAAAAAAATTTACTACAAAATTAAACATTTTTCTAATTTTAAGTGTAAACGACCCTCTGTTGTGTTTGTTTTTTTATAGCTATCATTTGATTTTTTTTTCTTTTTGAAATTATCTCGTTTAACTCTTGTTCAGTAATGGAATATCTGAAGGGATCAACTTGGTTCTCTTTTCGAATAATTTTCCTGATTAATTTCAGAACTCGTACGCAAAAAATTTTTTTTACGTTTTATCATTTTTCAGTAATGGAATCCATCCTGTGTTTATAAAAAATTATTCTGATTAGCCTTCAGATTTTCATTTCCAGTTCTAACAGTTTTGTTTTGTCGGTATTCGCGTAAACTAAAACTCCATATTGGATGATTGGTTGCACATAACTTTTAAACACAAATATTAATTGCCGTCCATTTAGAAACTATCTCAATTGATAACACACTCCACAGAATTGCAAAATTTAATTTTTTACCTTTTCAATATGCTGATGAAAATTCAATTTACACTCAAGGTGAATTTCAAGATATTTAAAATAAGCAAGCGTGAAAAACAAGCGTGAAAAAACAAGTGTTAATGTCGCAATCATATGTTTTTAGCAATTGTGGATAGAATAAATAGAGATTCTCAATAAAATTGTTACAATTGTCTTGATTCAGGAAAATTATTGAGAACAAGAAGATTGATTGAATTAATAGAAATTAATATCAAAAATGACACTGCGTTCAGTTCGAAACTAGAACTAAAAATTGTAGTTTTTAGTAAGAAAAAGTAGTTGTTTCGCTACGGTATTTTCACGCAATAGGGAATTAATTCCTTATCAGATGTCCACCAGGACCAAAGATAGCGAATTAGTTTCCCGAGTGCGTGAAAAAACTGTTTCGAAAATGCTTGAATAAACGAAAAATTTTTGTTTTTCACTCGTTTTCCACCTGCTAAAACAGCTATTTTCTCACTTTAAAAATTTTTCAAACTAACTCTACAGCTAGCTCACTTGCAAGAATTTTTCACGTCAATTGAACTCACGCTATAAATTAACTAGTTTTGTTCAGACAACAAATTTCACGTACTGATCTTTCATGAACTGCGTATGAACGCTCGCAAGTTGACTAACCCTGGTTTTTTTCTGCCGGATATGAACTGCAACCCTAAAACTTCACTCAAGCAACTTAGTCTGGAGTTGCATATTAAAATTTTTATCTGTACTCTGTGTTCGTATAGCTCTGACGGCTTGTCTTTTAGGCATTAGGTTAAGTTAGTTTTTAGTTTAGTTTTGGTGTTGACATTCGTGCTTTTGGTGCTTGATCATTGGTACCAGTCAACAGCAATGTCTTGTGTCCAAGGTGCTGGTGCTGAAACAGTCGAGTGTGTTTTTTAGTTGAATGCGGAGTTTGTTATCCTTTTTCATATTGACTGACTTTAAGGACCGGATTTGAAAGTTTCTCAGCCTGCCAATTAGTGACCCTGTGTCGTCTAACAGAGACGCAAGGTTTCTGGAGAGCAGTGATTTTACAGTTGCCTGAGTT